GGGAGCCCGATGCGGGACTCGATCCAGGGACTCCAGGATCATGACCTGAGCCGAAGGCAGTCGCTTAACCAACTGAGCCACCCAGGCGCCCTGACTAATACATATTTTATATGTTATATGTAGTATATACTGTGTTCTTACAATAAGGTAAGAGAGGAAAGAATGTTAAGAAAATCATAAGGAAAGAGAAAATATATTTACCATACTGTACTGTAAAAAAAAATCTGCGTTATAGTGGATCCGTGTAGTTCAAACCCATATTGTTCAAGGGTCAACTGTTTTATTTTAAGAAATTGCCACAGCAACCAGCACTCTGATCATTTAACAGCCATCAACATTGAGGCAAGCCCCTCCACCAGCAAAAAGATTATGACTTGCTGAAAACTCAGAGGTTGATTAGCATTTTTTAGCAATAAAGTATTTTTTAATTAAGGTATATCCATTGTTTTGTAGACATAATGCTGTTGCATGCTTAATAGACTACAGAATAGTATAAACATAACTTCTGTATGCTTTGGGAAACAAAAGAATTCCTTTGACTCACTTAATTACAGTATTTGCTTTATTGTGGTGGTCTGGAAATGAACCCACAACATCTCAGGTGTATGCCTATATTGGGAAAAGAAGTCAATATTGGTGCCTATGTATACAATTTGTTCTATGAATGGATTATACCTCTGAATTTTTCAATTAGTAGATGATCCCTGGTCTGGAAGTCAGGAGAATTGTATTTTAGTCTAGATTTTGCTACTAAGTAGATGTGTGAAATTGAGAACAATGTTTTTTTTTTTAATGTTCCCAGGTGGTCTTGGTTTTGTTTTGTTTTGTTTAAATTCAAGTTAGTTAACACATAGTGTAGTATTGGTTTCAGGAGTAGAATTTAGTGATTCATCATTTACATAAAACACCCAGTGCTCATCCCAACAAGTACCTTTCTTAATGCCCATCACCCAATTAACTTATCCGCCCCCCCCAACCCACCTCCCCTCCAGTAAGGCTCAGTTTGTTCTCTATATTTAAGAGTCTCTTATGGTTTGCTTCCCTTTCTGTTTTTATCTTATTTTATTTTTCCTTCCCTTCCCCTCCAGGTGGTCTTAGTTTTGACAAATTAACTGATTTCAGTAGAGCAGGGTGGGAGGCATTATTTAGTGTTTTCAAACCAGGACCTTTAAGTCACAGAGTATCTCACAGAACTAGTGCTGCACATTTTGCTTTGGAAAACAATGGCCTAGAGAATCCAGCTCAAACATTCTGTGATTACTGCATAAGTGGATATTTTACAAAACAGGAGCTTCAGAGAACTTCCTCCATGCTTGCAACTAAGGAATTTATTATTTCCAAAGTAGGACATTTATTTTAAGCAGTAAAACTGAAAGAAATCTGTGAGGGTTTTTTATTGTGAATAAATAGATGGAATTATCTTGTCTTTTAGACTTTGCTTTGAACTTTCATATATGCTGTCTGTGTTTCATAACGTGAAATAGGTTGTTCTTAAGTGAGGTTTTGGATGGACATTAAAAGAATGTAAGAATGCCATTCTAACAAATTCGTACTATTGTGTGAGCACGACCAGAACTTTTAAGATTTGATGTGAGCAGATTTATAAATTTTTTGTTGGAATTAGACATCCAGTTAATTTGCTTGCTAAAGTTCTATTAATATTATGTATGCTGCTAATTTTAGGATAAAATGCCTTAAAAAGCAATATCTTGCAGGTCTTGCGTCTATAAGAATGATCAAGCTGCAAAGGATAATCCAAGTAAAAGTCTTCAGGAGGAAGAACCATGTCCAAGATTTGCCCATCAGCTTGTATATGATGAGTTACACAAGGTACCGTAACTATATCGACTTGTAAACTTTCCAAGACCTATAATCTGATAGAATCCCAAAATAAATGTTTCTGATTATTTTTAAGTGCCTTTGAATAAAAAGTTATAATATATAGCAGACATCATAGAATATATAGCAGACATTCAATATCATTTCTCCCTAAAATTCCTTAAGAGAATAACCATTTTCCATAGTCCAAAGTTCCTGGCACTTTTGCACTTTGCTTTGTAGCTGCATAGATCAGATACATTGCATGACCTGTTGTTTCTACAATATCAATATCCAACTAAAAAATCTACAGTTTTTAGCATTAGGATACCTTGTCCCATGATATAAAAAAGTATATGTAACTTCTGATTTTAGATTTTCCTATTGTGTAAGAAGTCTTTTTATCTTTATTTTTCCTATGACGTGACGTGTTTTTTCTATTGGCCTCACAAAAACAGTCCTGCATTCTCAAGTTTTAGTGTCACTAAATGTTCAGGGTGGTTTCTTTAAACTATGTCTCCCTTAAACTTTACATAGAGTTTAAAAAAAATTCCATATCACTTCAGACCTTTAGGTAAATATTACCATAAGAGTGAATAAAAGCCCTTTCTCTTAGAGTCTCCCAGATTAAAGGGTAAATGAATTTGGATCTGTAGGATAGAAGTAATATCGCTATTGTATAACACTGTTGAACATATATGTTTTCAAAACTTCAGGAACTGTTTTAACACTTTGTTTAAGTACAGAATATCACTAAAATTATACCAATGAAATCATTATTGCATTCCTTTTTCATTTCTTTTTTTTTTGGTATTGAATAATGTAATATTTTACAAGTTATGTCACAAATTATATGTACCACTTAATATTTGGCAGTAAGCCTAAAGCAAAATTAAGATGCTAAAATTTAAAAGTTCTAGTTACTATTGACCTTCGGTGATTCAACATGTGTGTCAGAGTTTTATTAAAGATCTTGTTTGTTGTTATGATCAACACTTGGTTAACTTAATAATCCCCATTATTTGTTGCCCTAAGTAAACTCTTTATCATGGATTAGCTTCTTACTATCGTTGCTTTTGTTTCATGTCTTCCATTGTCAGTATAATTGTGGTAATACAGCTCATTTTAATCTAAAATGCAGCTTAAGGAAGTAGCCACAGTACTTTAAAGTAAAATGGAAGTGAGAAACATCAAAAGAAGCCTTTGTTAGAAATGCAGTAATGTTTTAATTATTACTGTTACACTTTGCTACCAAAATGAAGAAATTTTATTATGACTTCTGTAGTTTCCGGAGTATGCATGCATCTTAAAATGTGGCTTGTTTTGTTTATTTTAGGTTCATTATTTATTTGGTGGAAATCCAGGAAAATCTTGCTCTCCAAAGATGAGATTAGATGACTTCTGGTCACTGAAGTTATGTAGGCCTTCAAAAGATTACTTACTGAGGCACTGCAAGTACCTGATAAGAAAACACAGGTATAAAAATAACTCACTGAAAACTTTTATTTAACATTATCAGCTATTGTTGGTGTTACCTCGACTTTGGAGATAGGGCTTTGTCTTTGGAAATTTACTAATACTACAGTGTAAATACTGTGAAGATCATGACTCTCGTAAATGCCCTTTTATTTTCCTTATTTTTGCTTTCCTCTTTCAAAGGAAGATACAGAGTGAAGATATATATTGATGCTAAAATTTTCTAGATATAGAACAAGGAAATTTTGCAACTGTTAAATGGAAGAAATTTCTATGAAGGTGATGAACCTATCTTCCAGTAACTCAAGGCCTACTCAGTACAAAGTACATCAGTTCTATATTATTGCCATATGCCTAGCCTATTGATAACTTTCTTAACAGTGAATGCGATGATATAGCTGACTAAATTATCTTCCTAATCTGATGTTTCAGAATACAACTTCAAATATGATTTTGGTTTTACATCATTCACTTTGCCATTTAATTGCAAAATCATGTAATCAAACATTTTCATATATATTTCGTGGGTCATGTTTGCTTTTGAGCCCTAGCAGGTGATGATAAGCTACTGAAAAATGTAGAAAAGCATATCTGTCCTTTAGTTATTGATAATGTTCGATGGTAAGAAAAGTTTATAGTTTGGAAGGAGAAGTTTAGCCTTTAATGATGATAATAGTTACCATTTATTGAGCAATTTTTGTGTGCTAGATCTCGCATATTATTCCTACAGTAAGACAATTGAATAAGTACTGTTCTTATCACTATTTCATAAAAGAAGAAATGGGGTATTTTTAAATGGGTTATATAATTCATCTAGGGTCACTCAGCTGTAAGTGACACAGCCAGGATATGGTCCTGAGTATTTTGACTCCAGCATTCATCACTTCACCACCACCATCACCACTGCACATGCATACATGTATGTCTGTGTATTTACACATACATGTTTATATGTCTATTACATATATTTATGTATTTTATCTTATATAGAATATAAATACATAAAAATCTCTGGTATAAATTATTAAACTGTTTTCCTTTATCATATCATGTTTACTTACTGTTCCCTTCTCTGCTTTCACAAGTTGTGCTTGAAAGATAAATTAATAACAGAAGCTAGTTACTTCTGTTACTTTGGCATTACTGTGAGTAATTAGTGTATTTCCTGTAGAATCTACAGGAGAAAGGTTCTGAATCCTCTTGTTGACTGGATGACAAGAGATAAATTCTGTTTTATTAATAAGATTTAAGCTTGAGGTACCTTCAACTAAGGTGTACACTGCTAAAATTTTATTCTTCAGTATTTTACTTAATGTTAGAGTTAGTTTTTCAAGGATGAGACAGAGAGGAAATTATAGCGTTCTTTTTCTACTTCAGATACAGGAACGGGTAGTTGGGTAATTAAATTGAGCTTTTTAAAAATTTCCTGACCAGGAGCCCATTGGAGATTAGAGGAGATTTTTAGGTACTATATGTAAAGAATTTGAATTCACTTATAAACATTTTCCTCTGGCTTTTAATTTAAAAAAGTAATGTATGGTTAATAAAAAAAAATAAGTCCTCTCACCCTGCAAAATAATTGAATCATGCATCATCCTGTCCATTGAGAAATAACAACTTACTGTTGTGGTGTGTATCCTTTATATGTGCACACATATATTTTTGTTTTACTGAAAAATAGGGATCATAATGCTTTGAATCTGATTTCTTTCAATGAATGATATATTACAGACATCTTATTACCATGTTAATAAATACAAATACAAATTATAGTTCTAATGGCTGCATAGTGTTCTATTTTATGTGTAATTTTCTAAGTTTACTTTTGTAAAATATTTAGATTATTTCCAGCTTATTTGCTATTATAAATAATACTGTAATATTATTATATACTTCCATATGTACCCCTATCCAAAAATTCTGTAGGATATTGGTAGAATTGGTGAATTATCAGTTGCCCTCCAGAAAGTTAATTTGCATTCCTTCCAGAAGTAAGTAGGATTATTCATTTTCTCACAGCCATACCATTGTGAGAAGTATTTTTTTTTTTTTTTAATCTTTGACGATTGTTTTTTTCTTTTGAAAATATATCATTGGGCACGTGAAATGACAATTTGTGGAAATCTGAAATATTATATATTATGGCATGTTTTAAGTTTTAAGTACAAACACCACTGTTAGTGACTTGTGCTGGTAAAAGGCATAAAGTAAGGAATGTCAGTGGATAAAGAATAAAAGATAATAATCAGTAACAAATCATTTAAACTTTAAATATATGATGAAAAACTCTAGCAAATTTTTTGAGGATGAGAATGGTTCATAAAATAGTGACTGAAGCTGAGAGGCAACAAGTTTGTGTGATGGGGCAAAGAAGCAGCCTTTGAAATTTTCTACCATGGGAAAAGAAGTATGCTAGCTCATCTCAGAACTGAAACCAGAAAAGCCCTGAAAGGAGAATTTAAGAACGTTTAAAGACCCTATCCATTTATATAGAGTATTTTTTTTTTTTAATTTTATTTATTTATTTGACAGAGAGAGACACAGCCAGAGAGGGAACACTAGCAGGGGGAGTGGGAGAGGGAGAAGCAGGCTTCCCTCTGAGCACAGAGCCCGATGCAGGGCTTGATCCCAGGACCGGATCATGACCTGAGCCGAAGGCAGACGGTTAATGACTGAGCCGCCCAGGCGCCCCTATATAGAGTATTTTCATTTAGAGTAGTAATAGTAGCATAAAATTATGGAACACAGTATTATTCTTTTCTGATTGTGATTACTTTTTGACTTCAGTTTTAGGAGCTAATGTCTTACATTGGAAAAAGTACTAGACCTGAACCTTGGATTGATCTTTAAGCCTTGTAACTTTGTCTTTCTGGAGATCACTTTGCTCATGTATAAAATGGCCACAACAACCACCTATGGGTCTTTATACATCAGTGAAACTTCATTTATTGAAGAAATATTTATTAAGCACCTACTGTGTGCTAGGTATTATCCTAGGCTCTGTGGATATGTCAGTGAAGAAAATAAGCAAAAATTCCTATCCCCAAGTTTCTATCTTATGAAGGAAGACTAGCAGTAAACATAATACAGAATTTATATGTTAATAAGTATTATGAAAAAGAACTAAAACAGGTTAAGAACTATTTTGTACAAGTTAGGGAGCTGGGTATGTGATTTTTAAATAAGAATGTTAGGATAGACCTCACTGCAAAGGTGAATAGTGACCTAAAGAACATAAGGGAAGAAGGGCTACCTAGGTGGCTCAGTTAGGCAACCGACTCTTGATTTCAGGACTCAGGTCATGATTTCATGGTCATGAGATCAAGCCCCACATCGGGCTCCTTGCTCAGTGCAGAGTCAGCTTGAGATTCTCCCTCTCCCTCTGCCCCTCCCCCCAACTTGCACGCGAGTTTGCCCTCTCTCTGAAATAAATACATAAATAAATCTTTTTAAAAAAATAAAGAATATGAGAGAACGAATCATGTAGATATTTGAGAGGAAAAGTGTTCCAGATAGGTAATAGACAAGGCTCTGAGGTTAAAAATATGCCTGGATTATTTGAGGAATAAATTGAGGAGAACAGTGTGGTAGAAGTAGAATGAGTGAGGTGATTGTGGTAGGAAATGAGGTCAGAGAGATAAGAAGGGGACAGTTGGTGAAGGGTCTTTGGCTTTTACTCTGAGTGAAAGGAGAGCATTGAAAGATTTTACGTAGAGGAATAACACACTCAGATTTCTCTTTTAATAAAAACCATTCTAGGTTTTCTTCCAAAAGAACTGAGTAAAAGGTTGAGATCAAGAAAGCCCAGTAAGATTCTGGATAAACTTTGAAGATTGCACCAACAGAATTTCTTGATGGATTGGATATGGGTATGAAAGGAGAGTAGTCAGGGCATCCTGAGAATCTTGTCTACTACTAATTTGAACTGGTAGTCAAAGGCCCATTTTATTTATTTATTTACTTATTTATTTTTATTTTTATTTATTTTTAAAGATTTGATTTTTAAGTAATCTCTACCCCCAGTGTGGGGCTCAAACTCACAACCCCTAGGTCAAAGAGTCACATGTTCCACTGCCTGAGCCAGCCAGGCGCCCCTGGCCCATTTTAGATATTTGAAAAGACATAGGCTTTTTTTTCTACCAACCCTTAGATGAATTCAGGAGTTTGAGGGACATTGCTACATTGCAGGCAGAATAGATAGAAGTTGCTTTATATGAATTGAAATAGAGCATGAGAATTACCTTTTTAATTTAAATTTCATATTAAATTAGATACCTAGTGTTTCATTCTGTGGGACCTTACCCTATACTGCTGGGCTGGCTTGTTTATTTTCATTATTATTCTTATGGAAAACAGTTACGTATTCTATTTAGTTAAAATATAAATTTGGAAGGAGAGAAGTATACTGTATGCCAAGAAATGTGTCTTTGTTCTTTTTTTTTTTTTTTTTT